TTGATGCGATCGCAGCCCAGACCATGACACCACCCCCTCATTGAAGTTTCGCCTCGAAAAATTGAGCTTGTCTTTCCTGAGATTCGTAGCAGTAGAATTCTATTTCACCGGCGTCGTCCGCCAAGTGGAACTTTCTCATTGAGAAAATACGACCTTAGAGAAAAAAGAAACTGAAAAGGACAACAAGGGCACCGCGATGCACGAAAGCCTAACTTGCTCCAGTCGTTCTAGCAAAGGCGAGTCGGTTTTCGCGATGGCGGTCTCTCAGGAACGGTGCCTTCCTCATTTTCTCTCTGATGATGAACTCTGAATTCTTCAAGACACGCTAAACAGTATTTTTCGAGACATTGAGATTCAGCGATGACTTTATTTCCCTGCATGACATCGTGGAGTTGGACGCTTCTTTCAGGATACGACGTTTATCTCGTTCAGACAGCAAAGGAGGACGCCAGAGACTACTTCCGACTCCATATTGCCTGTAGTGGGATTCCTGACAAACTGATCGATAACATAATGACTGCGGCCCAACTCTCTTGCGATTTGACGATTCGACAGTCCTTGAGCCTTCTTTTCGATAATCTGCCCCTTTTCGAAGTCAGACAGTGAAAGCCCTCTCGCCATAACCTGGAAAAGGTCAAAGGTAGAGATGATGAGAAAGTTTACCCGAAAAAAATGAGACGCAATGGGAAAATATGCGGTGGCTGTATACTTGTGGGACATTGTCATAGTGAGAAATTTCAAAAAATAAAGAAAGTTGAAGTTGCTGTGGAAAGTCAGTTCTCGGAGTTGGCATGCAAATTGGTACTGGTAATTACCACATTTTATACCTAGAGGCTTTTTTTGAAAACGTCGTGTAGGGAGGGATATTGTGAGATTTATGGGTGGCTGTATACTTTTGGGACGCACTGTACTAGTGAGGAGGAGTTCCCACAAACAAGTGAGAACTCCTCCCACCACACCCTTTCTCGCTTTATGCACGTATTGAAGGGGTTCAACATGGGGTTCTGTATGAGACATTTCAGGCTGTTTCTTTTGCTTTTTTCTTCACTTCCGGGTTATTCGCCATTTTGCCATTAGTATTGAAAATCGCATGGCAGATCACTTTGAAGCGCTTTTATGGAAATCGGTTTGTCGGCTTCGAAAACAAGTTTACAATAAAGAACAGAACAATGCCATGCACTTGAAAGATTTGGCTTTTTATGGGCTTTTTCGGTTTCTTTTCATCCTTACAACCTTCTCTTCCAATAAAAAAAACTTCGTGCAGACGAAAGTAACCAAACAAAACTCAACAAACAACACGACAATTCAGGAAGGGAAAAGTCAGCGTAGTTGAAGTTACGCTTTGAAACTTAGCTTTCTATTATTTCCATAAATGGTGAATTTCAGTGCATCAGTTCTTGCCGTCACATTAATCATATTGGCTATCGTTATGTGGGCTTGTATCCTCTAGCTACTGGCGAGGCAAACAGAATGATGTACTAAGTCGATGCATTCAGTCATCAAAGGATCCCTCAGCAGATCGAACCTCAGGAAGTAGTTGTTTCATTGCCGTATTCGACACACCCCATTAGGAATGCAATAGTTGCATCATCTGACAGAATGATCGATCATCACATTTGAAATGTATTCGTTCACTCATCTTTGTTTTTCTGTTGTCGTTAGCTTCATTATTGACCAATAAAATCGTCAAATAACCGTTTAGCTTCACTTCAACAACTCTTTGTTTTACTTATCATACTCAACTCTTCAGCGGTGTCATTAATCGCGCAGCAAATCACTACTGCTGGCAAAATGAACGCGACAACACCAAATTTCCAGGATTTGTTTTCGTAACACGGAGACCAGCCAAAGTTCCATTTGCTCAACAGTCGAATAGTATATGCATTCTCAGCATTGCGAATAAAGAATGATAAGAAACAGATGAATAAGAAATGACGGAATAGGGAACAGGGAACAAGTTCGGCATCTTCGCGTTTACAACATGGAATAATGGGCTGATGCTCTAAATAATTCTATGTTGATTGATCAAGATAGAACTATTTAGAGAATCAGAACAATCATAGACTACCCTTGTTCGCACTTATTCATTCTTTGAGATCAGAAAGCGCCATTGCGGCCTCTTGTACATTCTCTAGTCAATCTCGGACCAGTAATCACTCTTTACGCCGCCATCACTTTACCTTACTACGTAATAACGCTCCTTCGCATCTAACTGAAAATTATTTGACATGAGTGAACGGATGCTGAAACAGTGCTCGAACGAGAGAAATAGCGCGCATTCACAATCACATATTCCACAGTACTCGAAACGTAGATAACTGAAGTGTGGAAGGATGGGTCGGAACCACTACAATGACCATAAAATTTGTCAACTAAGGGGGGGGGAGAGAAGGGGTAGTTTATGTGGTAGTGTCGAGGATGGGGTAAAATATGTAGGGGGGGGGGAAACTGGTAGTACTGCGAGGGATATCCACTCAAACGTATCGACGAATACCGGAGAGTGCTGGAAGTCCGCCATCTCACCCTAACAGCACTTTTCCAGACATCGCCTTAAGGAACACGCTCATCAGGTTCCCTCCCTTCGTTGACTATTAAACTACTACACCGCTCAGGAAATAACACAGTGGAAAGTCAAACACTGGAGGTTCTGGAAATCAAACTACTATCCGGAACAAACAACAGCGAGGAACTACGTGACATTTTGCAAAGCATCATTTGATTGTGTCACAAAGTATTAGGGTGGCCCATGAGTAATGGCGTGTTTTGTCACACAAATTTCATATGGAAAATAACAATTGTACTCAATATGTTCTGAACTGTTTGACAGATAATTTTCTCCTCTATGAGATAGTAAAATTGCCTTCTTACTATTTCTCGACTTGTGTCGATTTTTATTTCATTGAAAGGGAAATTCGGGTCGACCCAAAAGTGAGTTTTCGACAACTACTTTTTGAATTTTATCTCGGCTCTCAATCTACAGAAGAAGCTCAAACCTTGTGGTATATATGACCAAAGAAAGATGCGTCTTATGACAGCTTGAAGTTGGTTCAAGCGATCAAGAGGTGGGAATTCGGACCTTGTAAAAGAGCATCGCGTGGGGGGCCCTCTTGGGGAGGGACTGCCCTACCCACTTATTTTCGAACGTCTAACATCAACTGAGGGTGGTGGTTGATAATGATAAGGAAGCACCTATGTTACCTCTAACGATCCCTAACTCCTTGATTTTAAGTTGATGAGGTACCGTAAGCGCTCAGTTGGAAAGAATAGGGCATTAGATTCAATGCTTGTCTGTGAGGTCGAAACTGAAATCTTCGAATCACTTGAAGTATTAGCATTTCTAAGAGACAGTCTTTCAGCCATATACTTCGCAGCTGGGCCCATGCGGTTTTGGCATTCTAGTTAGAGGTATAAAAAGAGGCTGTCGAAAATGCAGTAGAAAGAGAAACTTGAAGATAACTATCGTGTAAGGCAAGTTCTCCGCAAAACGGTAGAAAACTCAATGGCAAAACTTTTCTTCTACAGCATGATATTTCGAGTGGGAAAAAGACGCTGTTACTTATGGGCCGACCCAATATGTCGTTATTTAAGGGTATGATCAGGGCGGATTGGCTATTTCGTGACTGCAGGGTAAGCGTATTGATCGGAGCAGCTGTCCGTGTAGGCTAAATTAGTATATATGGCGCACTGTTTCACTAACAACAAGCTAAAATTACAGGCCTGATGAAGGTGCTAGAAACTGAAATATTGCGGGATCATTAATTTTGCAGCACTTTTGAGATTTTTGGTGTCTTTTGAGTTTTTCGAAATAACATTCGGAGTTTCCTGTTACCAAAAATTAGGTATCTAAGGTAACCAAGCTAGGTAAATTCTACGTTAGGGATAAGATACGGAACGCGAGTGAGGAAAAATGACGATGGGTTGCGGATGACTAATATGATTTCTTAGTGAGTAAAAAGATCTTATGCAGCATAGCAAACGTTTCCGCTCCTTGGCGTTTCTTCGAACATCACAACTAGCTGCTAACTGGTCATCCAAAATTTTTTACGAGCTACTACTGTGACGTTACAGCTCAGAAGTTCTAAAAAGTACCACCTGTAGCATGATGGGCTGATTCGAAGGCGTAGGGCGCGTCCCCGACACCTCCCTCTTTGCACTTATGCGGATAACTGAAGAGTAATCGAACCACCGCTACGTTTAGGCAAACTAAAAAGGGGAAGAATGCCCTTAGAAACCTGGCAAAACCTCCACTTAACAAGAGAATTCCTATACGTAATTAACTGCACGCACTATTACTTGCTTTTTTAAAAGACAGACCATATTTCCAAAGCAACTAGTCTACTTACCACAACATCGCAGACCTTGCTGAATAGCGCGAGCCCTCGCCAACATTGTCGCCCACTCTAAACCAACCAATATTTCAAAGCTTTCACTAAACCCGAAAGTCAGAGCTCATCCTGTTCGCCACTAGTACTGATACTCTTCAAGGTGAATCATGAAATAAAAACCGGACAACCAGTTTTTTCAATGCCAGTACAACCAATATGTATCAAATTTATTCAGGGTACTATAAGAGGATATGTAACAAGCTACAATCGCTCTAAGAGTCTCAAAAAATACCACCAATTCTGCAACAATGATCACAACATGCTTTAATAAAAGAAAAACTGGAATAAAATTCAGTAACATTCATTCACTATACAGTTTTCACTGCAAGAGATTCTACTTACAACGTTCTGTACGGTGAATTCAACACTACTCATCAGATAGTGCTTTCTTTTTGGTATGTATGAAAGTTTTCACAGCTATAACAGTACTGACTTCTGTACACAAAAATCATAAATTAGACTCAACTCAGTTGAAGAACTAAATAAATAAATAGAACAAAATGTTATTTGCATGTACTAGAAACTTCAAAACATCTCCAAAGCACGAGTGTACCGCTATTTTTCCGTTTTTAAAAGAAGAAGCAGCATTCCAGGGAAAAGAATTCGATGACTCTCTCACATAATATTCAGTTTTACCAATCCACCCGCCTGATAAGGCTGCTGCTGTTGAGGAAGCAAAGAAGTCTGTCGTTGAGGTTCTGGCTGGCGCTGATACTGCCCAATAATTTGATTTTGAACTGCCGTCTGCTGCTGTTGCTGCATCCAAGAAGAGCCTGTATTCACTCCAGCGTATGGCGCATCTAAACCCACTCATTAAATGATTAGGACTTTCTCAATTCGACATTAAAATCCTAAGCAACCAAATCAAGTGGGAACACCGCAGAAGATCTTTCGCTCGCCCTCACGATCTATACGCTTAAAGGCAGTTGGCACGATAAATCCCCCAAGAC